CTTAGGATTGTCATGTGCCAGAAACAACTTGAAGGCCCACAACAACAACATTTTCTTTTAATCTTTAGACCAGGGGTCGGAAAGGTTTACTTACCTGGGGCTGGTTGCTGGTCCTTGGGTCTTCCGCCAGGCTGGGGGGGAGAAATGGCGACCGCCGCTGCCGCCACCAACTGGAGTACTGCGCATGCGCAAATGAGTTGCGGCTGCCATTTTGGCCCCTGCTTTAGACTTTCCATTGTGCCTTTAGACCAGGGATAGGCAACCTTTCCCCTTTAAGGGCCGAGGGACTTCAGCTCCCAGAATCCCAGGAGCTATTGGCCAACATGGGACTATTGGCCAACATGGCTGAGGCTTCTGGGAGCTGAAGTCCCTCGGCCCTTAAAGGGGAGATGTTGCCTACCCCTGATTTAGACCTTCCATTGTGCAGCTCTTCTTTGCCCTTTCTGGCACAGTGCATCAGAATGCTGTACTGGAAGGGCATCTTGATGCCACACACTATGCATAACAGAGCACGGCATCAGCACGGCATCAGCACGGCATCAGCGTGGGGTTGGGGCAGCTGGCATGCAGCTTCCCCACCCCAATTGTGTCTCCAGGCCAGCCCTTTGGGCCGGTCTGCAGAGGCCCTAAGTCTCTAACCCTTGTAGAAGCCAAGATATGGGGCAAAATATTGAGATACTCTTCTGTCAATGTCTTCTGCAAGAAAGAAGCCCACTCACAAATTTCAGGTGTAAGGGAAGTGACAGTGAGCAGTAAGCACAGTGAAGTTCAAGAAGTGCACTGGAAGTTAATGAGATGAGGCAAGGGAGCGAGTAGGAGAGCCAGGAGACTGAGCGTTGTTGTCAAGAACTGCCTTTTCCAAGAGTTCAGTAAACAAGTCTTCTGTTTTACAAACAGTAAAACTTTATTTTAGAAAACACCTAAGTGTTAGTATGAAGACATCTGCAGACAGAAGCTGATCATCCACCAACATTGGCATAATATGAACAATGTCCCATCCCAAATTTTTGTCGGCTTCATCTTAATTTGTTTACTAATTAAAACATACCAACTCTCTCTTCCATACCCCTTTCTTTCACCCAGCCCCCAGTCTCAGCCTGTTTTCATCTCTCTTTCTCACCAACAAACTCAGAAAATTCCTCCTCTACACATCTGTACATTTCTGGATCAGGCCACAAGCATCCTTTTGAACTATTACCAATTATTTCTACTAATACTATACCTCACGTCATTCTCATCATATCCCAATTACTTATAACATCCATTATATATCTGAAACATTGAACATGCTATATATTACAACCACCACCATAACATTCTTATGACAGAATGTGCTAGATTGTGACAGGTGTAAGTGGAAGTGTTGGGGGGGGGGGAAGCAAGCATAGTGATGGTATGAAGGAGGAAGAGAGATGGGAGAGTGATCAGTGCAGGCAGAGATGACAAAAGTCCAAAACACACTGTAGAAATAATCCAGTTTGAGACTGCTTTACCTGCCCTGGCTCAGTGCTA